GGGGCACAGAGTCTGAGGAAGATGGCACATACCATCAGTGACTTTTGAGAGCCATAGACATGCGCACTTTGGGAAGCCTCAACCCAGGTGACATGAAGCATATTAAAATGCACCTGCATCCACAATTAAATATAATTTATGTCTGTGTAGGAGTCACATTGCTGTTGCCTGTTTGACACATACTACATTTAGCAGACAAACTTTTATTAATTGCGATCCTACTGTTTGTTGTTTTTGGAGTTGATCTTTTTTGTTTGTTTGCTGTTTATTTTTTAGATGGCAAACATTTTGCTCGGCCTCAGCACAGTGCACGGCGCCTGGTGGGTGAAGCGGCATGGGGTGTGCCAAGGCCAGTGGGTGGCAGTTTCAGGGAGCCTGTGCTGTCTCAACAGAAGGAGCTTTCTAAGCATAAGAACTGCCTCTACCAGGAGAGCTTCCTGTTCCTGGAAGTAATTTTATTTCAAGCCAACTAACATCTATTTAGTACCAAGTACATGCCAGGTACTGTCCTGCCATCAGAAATGCTGCAGGAAACATTTTTGGCCTTAATGGGAAGCAGGAGAACATGGTCTCTGGAGTCCCTTTGAGTTTAATGACTCCGTGGGCTGTCTAGCAGCTGCCACTCAAAGTGTGATTCCTGGACCAGCAGCAGCATCCTGGAGCTTGTTAGAAATGTGAGTCTCAGGCCCCATCCGAGACCTGCTAAATCAGAATGCATTTTCACAAGATCCCTGGTGACTCCGTACATGAATTATAGTTTGAGAAGCCCTGCCCTTGTCCTCTGACAGTCTGCATTGCTCTCACCAGCAATGGCCAGTCCTGGGCTGACCACAGCTATAAGTTGAAGGACCTATTTGTAATTTAAGGTAGGAGTGTCACCCTAAAATTAACTGATGACCATGAATGCTTCTCCAGCTAGCAGCTCAGGGCCTCAGCGGAACTGGCTGAAGGCTTTGGGCTGCACAGAGACTTACGGGATACTGCTCAGACTGGGGGCTATGGTCTGGAGTCTGGATGTGAGGGGGTTCTGCTGAGAACTCATTGGCAGTCTCAGGGCAACCTTATGTGCTCGTGGAACACCATTTTCTCATGCATAATGCGTCCCCTTGGCTGGCCTGAGGTTAGCATGGGGTAGCGTGGGGCTTTATTTGATGTACAGGCCAAGGAAGCTGCTGCTGTGTGGGGCCTGTCTTTGCGAGAGGACAGAGCGATGCCTACAAGGAGGCCAGGCAGGCTTGAATTCTGGTTTTCTGTGCCAGAACCCGGGGGATGGAATGCCACTTAGAGTCACTTACTCCTAAGAATTGTCTAGCCACCCACTGTGTGCCAGGCACTTTGCAGACATCATCTGATTAACCAGTGCCACCATATCTCCATAAAGTGGGCTGGCAGCCGAGGCCCAGATTGGTGAGGTGACTCACCCAGGCTGCACAGCGGGCAGCTCTGCAGGTCTGACTTGAGAATGCCAAGGTGGGGAGCCACGAAGGCCTCCAGGTGGTCTATAGCAGGTGGGAGGGGACCTATGGATGATGTAGCAGGGACTGAAGCATATGGGACCCCCGCTCTGGCCTTGGGAGGGTCAGACAAATGCCCACGGGACTCTGAGATAAGGTGGAAGATTCTGCAGAGGGGCTCACCCCTGGTCAGCTTTCCAGTGGTTCCTTTTCAACCTTTGCGTGTATTGCTTTTTAATAGTGCTTTTCAATAGTGCTTTTTAGTCTTTTAGTTTATTCTATTTGATTATTTCTGCGTATATATTTTATCATTCTGACTTGTGTTCTTCTCAATTAGCTTTCCTTTTTAAATGGTCTCATTTTGCCTTCTATCCTTTCAAACGTCTTAAGCCTTCTGGTTTCCTTTCATATCTTCTCTTTAATTATCTGTTTTTATTGTTATAGTTCCCTTCGACTTAAAAAAAATCATATTTTTCCAACTAGAAAAGTGTGATTTTTTTTTATTGCTAAATGTTTGGAAAATATAGGAAAGGGTATAAAGAAGAAAATTAAAATATCCTATTAAGTCTCCTTTAGGAATAAACACTCTTGCTGTTTTATTCTGTTCTCTTCAACTACTTTTTCTATTCATAACACTTAGAGATATTGCTTTAACCCTTTTTCTTATATACGTGTTGTGTTTTCCTGTGATTTGATGTTTGTTGAAAAAAAATCTTT